GTGGAATTACAGCTTGCTATCAACACACCGTCCTCTTAATATGATTCCACCCAATCCTTCGTCTTCTCATTGAATATTTTGACTCTGAAAAGAGGGAGATAAAAATCTTTTTTCTTTTTTTTTTTATTTTTGTTTTTAACTCCACACGCAATAATTTTGTCGTTGATTTTTTGTTTTTCCTTTATATTTTTCTTTTTATTTTCCAAGATACTTGTCATTTGTCTCTGTCTTCCTTTTATTTTTTGTCAATAATTCAAATCACGCTGGGAGTTTTAGTCCTAAGTAAAACGGATTTTTATTCTTTTACAAATATTACGATATTAGTTAATTTCTAAATTGCACTAATCTATTGTTTGTAACTTTTGACTGAAAATCTTAATCATACTCCCTGTGGATAAAGATTGAAAAACGGGGTAAGAATCTTTTTTATTTTATGGAAAGTTTTGTTGACTAATTTGAGTGCAGTTCTGTGTATGTAAACAGTGTAATTAAGTCATCAATATAATATCTCATTTATCAATTATTTTCAATGAAGCCCAAACCCAAATCCATTTTTTCGCTCCTAGTTTTCTATAAAATGAAATACTGTATTGACGATTATTGAACATTTTGCTAATATATGAATGTAGGTATATGTACATGTATTGTTTTTGAGTCTCATGTGATTCGATATCCAACATATATTGCATTCTTTTATTATGATATACATTTTACGCATAATAAAGTAAGTATTGCTCGTTTAGATACACATAATATTCACTCATGCAAATTATATGCGCAAAACTAATTATCAGGGGCGGATCTAGAAAAAATCTTTGGGGGAACAAAAGCTATTGTTCGAAGGAATTTGCTATGGAACCATCCGATGGTTCCGTTATAGAGCCATCCTGAATGAAAAACGTATTCTCAGAATACGTTTTTCAAATAAATTTATTTGAAAAACGTATTCTGAGAATACGTTTTCCACTTAGGATGGCTCCATAACGGAACCATCGGATGGTTCCATAGCAGGACTGATTGTTCGAACAAAACTGTTTATATACTTAAAGGAACTAATCTTCAGTTTGACTCAAAAAAACTCAAGCTCAACTTGATCTTATATTTAAAGGAACTAATCTCAAACACTTAATTTAATTTGTGTATTAACAGAGTTGGATCTCACTTGTTTAGTAATGAGTCGAGCTGAGTCGACTCATTTATTAATCAAACATGAGCTTGAATATGAGATATTTTGGCTTGACTTGACTTGAATAACACCTTTATAGAGGATATATAATTTTCTATAATACACACACATGAGGCATACATTTTCATTATAGGTGAAGAGTGAAAAATTACTTACAAAAATATAACGTACTTAAAAATAATTAATAGACTACAATAATTAGTAATAATTATGGAATAATGCAATAACTTGAATATGCTATAATATATATATATATATGGAGTAAAGGATAAAAAATTAATAATATGTTTGTAATGTTTATATATATACATAGTAGAATATAAAAAATGATCTGCCACTGAATTAAAGTACTCACAAATATAAAAAAAATGATCATATTATTCGAAAGAATCAATGACGGATGATCCTTTGTTGCTGCAAATTAGTGCTATTTTTTTACCTTGCATGCTTGTGTTGTGCGTCCCTATGTTCTGTTTCGTGCATCTCTGTCTCTACCTCTGGACTCTTGAATTGAGTCTTTTTTGTTTATGTTAATTAGAGTAGTTTTATTATTTTACTGATAAAGAAATAATATATATAATATAATAAAAGGTGGAAGTTAAATCATTAAATGGGCTTTATGGCTTATCTTCCATATATTTGTGTAATGGGCCTTGGCTTGTTCTAGTCCACATAGTTTCAATCAATATATCTTTAGTTAATTGATTAATGGAGATAATAATAATTATATATACTTAATCTAATAATTAATATATTACACATATACATAGGTAAAAAAAATCAAAAGTTTGGAGAGGACCGTGGCCTCCCTGAGATGAATGTAGTCCGCCCCTGCTAATTATATCTAACCGACGTAGTTACCAAAATTTGCATGTACGTGCATTACAATGAGTGTATATCTTGTGTATCTAAGCGAACAATAATTAATTCATTATGCACAAAGGTGAAAACGTTGTTTAGTTTATTTGGGAATTAAAATTTATTTTTTTTAAGATTTCATTTCTTCATAACTATTCAAATATCAATGGTTGATATCTATGTTGCCAAAAATTATAAATGGGAACAGTCTAAAATAATAATTAAATCTATTTTTTTGAAATGCAAGGAGATGCTTTATTTTGGCCTCCAAAAAAGTATTATAAATGAAGAAAAGTGGAGAAATAAATGTTTTTATTTTACAGAATTAATTGTAAAACTTTTGAGGTGAGTGGTGGCTGAAGATCTATGACATTTATCAACCACGCACATTTATGCCGACTTGCTATTATCCAACGGTTGATATTGAAACTGGCAGAAATTTTCCTTCACGTGACCAAATATTACAAGCCATACAATAGAAATAAACATCGATATCTTGACCAGTAACAATTTTTTTTTTTTCAAAACGATAGAAATACCCATTAGAAGAAAAGTACAATAAAGTCTTACAACCGGTAGACCGACTGGCTTATATGGAAAGAAAATACACAGGAGAGACACACACGGGTGCTCTGAACTCATCCAACCAACACTAGAAAATCAACAGCAAAACAATAACCACCCGAATTAGAAACCAAACTGAATAACTATAACCTAATATGCACACCTAGAGGCAGCCTGGCATAGTTGTTCCTCCAGATCTCGAACCAATAGAAAATATAACCAAACTAACCTAGCAAGCAGAACAAAAGGAGAAAAGCACAACCAACAAGAAATACTACAACTAAACTTCAAGAAGAAGACTAGCAGCCCCCTTGCTTACTGCCTAAGCCCTCAGCCTTCTGCACCCTTGGTACTCCTTCCAATCCTTAAGAGTCGCATCCACCACTGTCTTCACAGGCATCATAACATTTTGGAACTTCCATAAAGTTCTCGATTTCCATAGCCACCACAGGAGATAGGTGGTCAGTTGAATTCTATCCTTAGAGATTGCCTTTGTGTTTAGTGGACAAGCATTTCCATTACCAAACATGTGCCTATTATGAAAATGAATCACCTCCTCAGCAATAATGTCATTATCTAACAGTTGCCTCCCAGGAATGAAAGCAGTTTGGTTAGAACTCACACAACAATGTAGGCAATTTTTAAGTCTAATGGTTAAAATTTTGGATATAATTTTATAGGACACCCCACAGAGACTAATAGGTCTTAACTGAGTAAGAGAAACATGATTAGTGCATTTAGGAATAAGTGTAACCAGTGTGTGATTCCAGCTTTTAAGTAATCTACCAGAAGAAAAGAAACTAAGAATGGCCTCACACAAATCCTGTTTAATGACATCCCAAAAAAATTGAAAGAATAGAGGAGGCATACCATCTTGTTTTGGAGCTTTCTTGGTTCCATGCTGAACAAAGCTTCCTTGATGTCTTCTTCAGTAATTGGAGTCACTAAAGCCTGGTTCATTTCTTCAGAAATAGAAGTCCTAATTATCTGCAACAATATATCCTCCCCCTCAGACTCCTCAGATGAAAACAACTTGTTATAGAAATCACAAATGCAATCCTCAATCTCCTCTTTAGACTCACAGATCAAACCCTTATCATTTATCAGCCTATATATAACATATGATTTCCTCTGCGGAATTGTTAAAGCATGAAAGTATTTTGTGTTGGAATCACCCTCTCTCACCCATTTCACCCTGGCCTTCTGATGCCAATAATATTTCTCCTTTTTATTGGCTTTATTGAGTTTCATTCTCAATCTATTCCATTCTCCCCAATTTCTCTCCTCTCACAGTTTGCTCATATGTTCCAGCTGCTCGGAGATGGCTAATCTTTCTTGTTCTTTTTTTGTTCTGAAAAAACTGCTCCATTTTAGCAAAGCTATCCTGGCATCTTTCACCTTTTCCTTCACTTGAAGCATAGGGGTCCAGTTTGAGGTTTATCCCAAGCCTACTTATATTCCTCACTTCAGCATTCTGGTTCCACCTTTTATCAAAGAAAAATATTTTTTTTGAATCCATGGTTGATAAGGTGAGAATCATTTAGCATCAATAATCTATTATGTGAAGAACTCCTGTAAAAGTTTTCAACCATTGCGTGGGAAAACTGAGACATCCAACCAAATGATCCAAAGACTCTATCTATTTTTTCCTCAATGAAGACTTCCTCCTCTCTGGTGTTAGCCCAAGTAAGAAATGCCATGTCATTCTGATTTCTTGCATCTCCATTTTCTTTATAAACTCATTAAATCCCCTGTAGCAAGCCACTGATTTCACTCTTCCCCTTCTTTTCTCAGAAGACTCCCTTACCTCATTTCAATCTCCCCCTGCTATCCACTTATCACCCCACTTGCATTTAGCAGCTAACAACTCCACCTATTGCCTTTCCCCACCATAATGGCCCTAATGGACTGAGAGCCTTATTCAACCTCCAACTCTACCTCAAACCAAAAGGAGTGTTCCAAAATTTGCTTGATGATAATCTCTCTGCTTCAAAGGAGAAGCAAACCACCACAAAGACCATGAGGGTCTATAGCCCACTACCTGTCTCTAAACCCAATTTTATTACAAATAGACCTAACAAAATATTTTTTTTCCTTGTTTCTGAAATAAAGAACAAACTAGAGTGGTGGAGTCTAGAAGACTCCTTGACCTGGGAAACTGTAGAGGGCCCACCCAGACCTCTACAGTTCCACAGAAATAGCTTCATTTATTTGTCTGGGGCCACTCAAGGCTGGCCACCTCCACCTTATTAGCCTCTCCTTTTTGTTTTGTTTTGTTTTTTTTTTTGTTTTTTTTTTCCTGGTATTCCTCAGATCAGTACCACTGTCTAACCCCTCATCTCCCACCTCTGCAATGCTACTTCTCTTTATTTATGTCTCAGCAGGTAAACTATCACATTTTTCTCTTTCCTCTGGTGATTCTACCCTCTTGTCCTGCTATCCTCTTCCACCCTTTCTGAGACTGTTTAGATTTCACACTCAATGCAGGAAAGCTTAGAGATCTATCTCCCACTGGTTGAGAGCCCTGACCCTCCTCAGTATCCATAGCACCACCAAACTCTGAGTCTTCAATCACTGTACTAAGACAACCTTTGTCAAAGTCCATAACACAAAGAGCCACATTATCATGGATAGTAGTTAGGTCTGTGGTCCTCTCAATTCTTTTGTTACAGGTTTCCACTTGGTTGGGATTGTCCTTAACCTCTATGATTTGCCTTGTGTCTTCTTACTACTCTGAGAGGGCTCTGCTACGCACTGATTGATTGCTTAGGTTTTTTACCACGCCCTCTTGAGATGGATCTTTACTTGGAGGATGAGTTTCATTAGAATTATTTGGGCTATGAGAAGATACTGATCTTCCTCCAAAGTGACCCTCCACCGCTTTCATCAAATCTCCAAACGGGCTCTCCTCTATCTCTCCTTTTTTAATGTCCTCCACCCTTTTGGAGCAAGCTCTTTCTAGATGGCCCACCAGCCCACAATAGTAACAGAATTAACTAGACGTTCATACTGGAAAGCAACCACTTTCTGCGTGTCATTTAGATTCATGTTTGCAAACCTTGGCAAAGGTTGCATCAGATCAATCACAACTAGAAGTCTAAGAAAGCTATCTCTATACCCCCCGGCTTTTACCACTGTGACATTCAACACTTTTTTGAAAATTCTGCCTATTCTGATTCCCACTTCAGAACTAAGCAAGTTCAGAGGCAAGTTATTAACCTGAACCCACATTTTCAGCTCAAAAAATTTTGGGTGAGATTCAAATAGCCCTTCTTCTCACTCTAGCAGAATCAAAATTTGGTTGTCAAAAATCCAATTAGTCTCTGCAACCACTTTTCTCTTGTCCTCAACACTACCGAATATAAACTGGAAGAAATTAGCTTTAAATTCTCTAACCTTAACCTGGTGTTGAATCTGCCAGATTATGCCCATCGTGCGTTTGATTCCCATGAGATTAGCTTTGCGATCACCAATTACTTTTCCAAACAAACTTTGACCACATCCTTCTTCACACAATTGGATATCACCATCCTTGATTTCTATGATCGAGTTCTCCACCTGTGAAAGATCGATATTACATAACCTAATTTTGATTTCCTCATAAATGTTAACCCCTTTAGTGACTGCCGCAACCAAAGGATCCATCTTGAAAACTTGCACAAGCAAAGAAACAAGAAACCCCCTCAAGAAGAACCTCAGAATCCTACCAATGGACAATGCAAGAACCCTAAGAATAGGGCTTCGGAGAGCCCGAACCCCCCCAGAAAACCCAATCAGAAATCCTAAACGAACAGAGAAAACACGTGATCAAAGCAAAAACCACCCTCCTAATAGAAACCCCCAGGCACGGAGGTACATCGGGTCCAGGGGGGGCACTGGACCCCCTTCAACTTTTAAAAAAATCTAAGGGTATTTTTGTAATTTTACTATAATATAAAAAAAATAAAAAAAAAATATATTGGATGAGGCTTGATGTCGGTCCTCTCCTGCAACATATCAAAAAATAAAAATAAAAAACCTTCAAAGAAGAAAACATCATCCCCGATCTCGCACCGTCCACATCGTCCATCCGGCTTCAGTATCACATCCGATTTGGGTCTTTGACAAATTATTTTGTTGAGTAAGTATTTCTTTTATATAATTCTTTACTTTCAATGGAGGATGTCAATGAAAGTTTTGAATGTGATATATTTTGGTAANTTTATTTATTTTTATAGCGAGATTTGTGTGTTTGAATTGTGTGTTTTAAGGTGGAATTTGATTTTTGTAGATCATAATTCATTATCCCTAATTTTTGTCTAAGGGTTTGACCTAGGAAAGCATTACTTGTATTTTGTCAATTTGATTATTGAAAGCATAAATTGATGAAATCTATTATGTCTATATGTATATTAAGGCATGAGATTTGTTGAGAATGGGTAATCCAAGTAAGGTACTAAAAATTATGGGTATTTGGTGAAGTTTGTATTGGGCTTTTCATTTTTTTTTCTTTGCAGCCCTTTTTTGTTTTTATAATTTCATGTAAGGAACTTATGAGTACAATATTATTAGTTCTCTGCTAAGCATGATGTTGTTTTGAAAGTATGATTTTCTGTAATTGCATGAATAAGTCTCTTTTGGGTACTTGTTATGTTGTGCAATGGTTATTTGGTGAAGTTTGTGTGGAATTAGTTACTTGATGTTGTAATTAGTTGCTCTGCATAATGTAGAACAAGGTGAATAAATTAATACAAGTTGCTATTATTCTCAATAGCTAAGTATTCATTCATTCATAGTTTCACAGTGCTATATAAGTTTTTTTTTTTGTTCAAAACTTATTTGTGTTTAATTGTTTCCTTCGTTCATTCGGATTGCTAATTCATACGAGTATTGGTTGTTCGTGTCAGAATGTTTTTTCTTGAAAGCAGTGTTCTAAAAGTCGCTAGGCGCCCGCTAGGCGCTCGACCAGTGCCTAGCGCCTAGAGCGCCTAGTCGGGGCCTAGGCGGCGCCTAGTCGGGGCCCAGAAATCAATAGTAAATACCTTATTTTTTATTTATTTTAACTACCTACAAAATAAAATTATCTCAACATATAATAAATTCACACACCAAAGTCCAAATATTAATATTAATATATATTAAAGAAAACATGAGAACAAAATAATGTAATTAGTATTTAAAAAAAAAAAAAAAATTGAAAAATTGCCGTCGAGCCCGCCTAGGAGCGCCTAAGTCCGCCTACGCCCGCCTAGACGCCGCCTAACCGCCTGGCCGCCTAGGAGCGCCTAGGGCCGCCTAGCCGCCTGGCCGATTTTTTCTGCCGATTTGTACAAATCGGAGGCGCCCGGGCACCGCCTAGCGCCTAGGCGCTGCCTAGGCGGCCGCATAGGCCGATTTTTAGAACAGTGCTTGAAAGGTATTTGAAGGTGAATTTGTTTAGTGTGTATTTGACCATTTGATTGTTGAATTATTTTAGCTCTCACAAATATTTTATCAGATATTCTAATTTTTGTTTATTTATTTTAAAATTTAGGTCATGGAACGATTTTATAAGAGAGTGTCGCAGAGTGTTGAAACATCATCCTCATCAATTAAAGCTCTTACGACAGCCGCATTATCCCCACCATCCAATACGCCTCCTATTTGTGGTGATTCTCAAGTTCCATCATCAAATCAAGATAATTCAGAGTTTAATTTGAAAAATCTTCCAAGCGATCCAGGACTACGACCTAGCATAACGAGCTATCCGCCAAAGTTGATAGAACAGGTTCGTAGAGCTTACTTATTAAAAGGTCCATGTCAACCACGTGAGCATGATTTTCCTCACACTTTAGATGGAAGTCGAAAACGTAAATTTGTGCCATCTTGGTTTGATGAATTCAAGGATTGGTTGGAGTATAGCATTGTGAAAGATGCTGCATACTGTTTATATTGTTATGTCTTTTCTATGGGGAGCAGTGAAAGAGGTCACGATGCTTTTGTATCGGGAGGATTTAATAATTGGAAGAAGAAGGAAAGATTAAGAGATCATGTTGGGAATCATAACAGTGATCATCATAAATGTAGAGTTGCTTGTCAAAATTTGATGAATCAAGCTCAACATATTGATGTGTCTATTTCAAAAGCAACAAATCATCTAAAATTGATTATCATTGTAGATTGAATGCATCGATTGTTTGCTTGCGTTATCTCATTATGCAAGGTCTACCTTTTCGAGGGAATGATGAGTCATATGAATCATTAAATCAAGGAAACTTTGTTGAACTTCTAAAAGTTCTTGCTTCATGTAATGAGGAAATACACAATGTTGTGTTGGGTAATGCTCCTGAAAACCATAAACTTACTGCTCCTATGATTCAAAAAGATATAATTAGTGCGGCATCTATTGAGACAACAAATGCTATTATTGAAGATCTTGGACATGACTTTTTCTCCATTTTAGTTGATGAGTGTCGAGATATCTCAGTGAAAGAGCAAATGTGTGTTGTCATACGTTACGTAAATAAGAGTGGATGTTTTATTGAACGCTTTCTTGGTTTGGTGCATGTTAGTGATACGACCGCAACTTCACTCGAGCAAGATATTTGCTCTTTGTTCTCTACTAATGGCTTGAGCATCTCTTGTTTAAGAGGACAATGTTATGATGGAGCGAGCAATATGAAAGGTGAGTTCAATGGACTCAAAAGTTTGATATTAAAGAAAAATTCTAGCGCTTACTATGTCCATTGTTTTGCTCACCAACTCCAACTCACACTCGTTTCTGTTGCTAAAAAGCATACAAGTGTCAGTTCTTTTTTCAATATTGTTACTCGTTTAACTAATATTGTTGGAGGTTCTTGTAAGCGTAGAGATATGCTTAGAGAAAAGCAAATTGAGAAAGTAATTGAGGGGATTGCAAGCAATGAGATTGTGACTGGAAAAGGATTAAATCAAGAGATGACTTTGAAGCGACCGGGAGACACTCGTTGGAGTTCGCATTATGGTACTCTCATAAACTTGGTGCATTTATTTCATCTATTATTGATGTTCTTGAGTATATTGGGGAAAGAGGAAATGATGATTCACAAAGGGCCGAAGCTATTGATTTGTTGGAGATTGTGAATATGTTCAACTTCATCTTTACTTTACATTTTATGATGAAAATTTTGGGAGTCACACATGAGTTATCTCAAGTTCTTCAAAGAAGGGATCAAGATATTGTTAATGCAATGAAACTTGTTCAAGTTGCTAAAGTTCGTATGCAAGCCATCAGAGATAATGGTTGGGATGATTTACTTGTTGAAGTTTCTAACTTTTGTGGCAAACATGACATAGCTATATTGGATATGGAAGGTGTGTATGCAGCTCGAGGAAGACCGAGGCGCAATGTTGAAAAGACGACTAATCATCACCATTATCGAGTTGAGTTGTTTTATTCTGTGATTGATATGCTAGCTCAAGAGCTTAACAATCGGTTTGATGAAGTAAACACAGAGCTACTCTTGTCAATGGTATGCTTTGATCCGAGAGACTCATTTTCTGCGTTCGATAAAAGGAAATTGCTTCGTCTTGCAGAATTTTATCCATCAGAGTTTTCTACAGTTGCTTTATGTGAACTTGATAATCAACTCGAGAATTTCATTTTTGATATGCGCTTAGATGAAAACTTCTCGAATGTAGCCAATATTGGGAATCTTGCTCAAAAGATGGTGTCGAAAAGAAAACATGATGTTTTTCCATTGGTTTACTTGTTGATTAAGTTGTTGTTGATTTTACCGGTTGCCACTGCTACAGTGGAAAGAGCTTTTTCGGCAATGAAAATCATCAAAAGTACACTACGCAACCGAATGGGCGACGAGCTTTTGAATGATTGTTTAGTACCATATATCGAGAAAGATATATTTCGGAACGTGAGCAATGAGGCTATCATGCAACGATTTCAAAATATGAAAAATAGAAGAGAAATGTTGTGATCTCTCAATGTTATCGTAAGTTATTTTCTTGAATACTCGGACATATGTATTATGTTTATTTAATCGGTACTTGTACTGATTTATTTATTTTTACACTTGATGTATTTCTTTTTTGTTATTATTAGTTGGACCCCCCTCGATAAAATTCCTGGATCCGTCACTGGAAACCCCCAAAAGAGAAATCACCCCCCCTCCCCCCCCAACCCAAAGAGGAATTAGGTTTGATGAGCACAATTGTTCTTCAGTATCAAATTTTTGTTTGTCCAACTTTAAAGTTTAAACAGTGACAAAATTTTATTGCTGGATGTCTAACAAAATTGAACTAGTTAACAAGTGTTTATCCAAAATAAAGATGAAGAAAATGAATTTTTGAATGAATAATAATAAACACAGTTTTTTTACTTTTGATTGGGATATTATTCAATTTAGTTTCATCCCTTGTGTATGGATCATTTTGTAGTGTATAATTCTTGTGAAAATTTGAGAATTGTTAGCCGGTTGGTGTTAGTCATATTATTTGTTAGATATATATATTCATATTATGTAATATTATACTTTTATGTATATTATTATTTAAAAAGATAACTACTTAATTTAAAATATGCACTTTTATTAAAAAACTATTACAAGTGACAACATTCTTGTCAAGTAAAATATGCACTTTTATTGAATTGATTATTTTATCTTAAGACTGATTAGTTAACATATCTTTCTGATATTAAATAGATATAATTCCAAGTTAATTAATATATATACTCAGATTCATAATATTCACCATCTCGAAAGATGATAATCTATATATATATAATTGCTAGCTAAGCAATAAATTTTACCTAATAAATAAAACCTAATAAATTTTACCTATGTGGCAAATCATTAATAAAACCTAATAAATAGAACCTAATAAATTTTATTTATGTGGCATTAATACACCCAATCTCATTAATAAGAAAATATTTCATTACATTTTTTGGGTTAATTAAGATAAAAACCATTATATTTTATGTTAATTGATTAATAATTATATTTTTTATTGAATAATATAATAGTTAATATTAAAATTAGTAATTATATTTTATACTAAATAATATATGAGAGTTACATAATATTATATTTTACACTAAAATCAATATTTTTTTATATGATGAAGATGTTGTTTATTAATAAATTAATTTTTTTTATGTCATAGTAAAATTTCTTAAAATCACATAAGCAATTGTTATAATAAATGTAATATTTTTCAGCTAATTAATTGGTCATGATCACTCAAAATTATAAAAAGTATATATTTATTACATTTTATGCAATCGTGATTCGTCGTGTGTACTATTTATTTTAACCAATGATCAAATTTTAAAATATAATACTATTATATAATTTATAATTTTAATATTATATACATAAATATAACTTATAATACTATATGTTTGAAATATAATACAATTATATAACTTATAATTTTTCTATTATATACATAAATATAACTTATAATATTTAATTTTATTTACATCTGTGCAAATGCACAAGGTCGAATACTAGTTTGACTTAAAAATTAGAATGCTTACAACGATAAACAGTTCATGCCAATGAATATAAAGGGGTATCACCATAGACTCGAAATTCACACAAAAATAAGTAAAGTCTTAGCTATAAAGTGAGGAAGAAAAATCGAGAGAAATCTTGACGAAGATAAGTTGAGATCAACTTCCGAAGTTTCATTTTCAAATTTCTTGAAGAAGGTTAGATGCTACCTTTTTATCATATGTTATAGTAAGTGAATATTGATGTATTTTCATGCCATATATATTTTTAAAGAAATTTCAAGCATGAAAAAAAAATGATAAGTTGTTTCCAGCACAATCACATGTTATATATGTACTGTTTTGATTTGAATTTGAGCATCATATGCATAACCTGGTATGTTAAGCTTATTATGGATATTTCTTGTGTAAGTGCTGAGTATATAGGTGAAAGAATTATGTCATTTGGCATAGTATAGATTGAGTTATAAAATTTTGAAGTTAAGCATGCAAGTTGAATTTTATGTTCTTTATTTCAGCTGTGACTTTAAAATTTTAATAACTCGATATATACGCATGATAGAATTATGAAATTTTTACGACATGCTTATATATGGGTTAAGAACATGACTGCCAAATTTCATGATTTTGTGTTGAGAAATGAACGAGTTAAAATATTTATATGGCATACATGTCAAGATGATTTTATATGCAAGAGTATTTAGTACATGGTAGAGTTTTTAAAATGGAATTTTTAGAAAAAAAAATTCTTATATGAGTGATGGGCAATTTGACCAAGTTTTAGTTTCATATGTTGAGTATACAATTTTATAAAGATTGTTGTAAATCTCACATATTAATGTTATGATGAAAAGTTTAGTATGATTTGAGTTATGTTTCACTTTCGAAATAATCAAGTGAAAAATGAGTATAAGCCATATGTATAAGATTTGGGAGAAATAATATGAGTAAGTATTTGATTGAATAAAAGATCAAGAAAAGTTTGAACCATAGCAAGAATATTGAGATTTTATAAGATTTGGATGATTTATCCGAAAGAGTTGAAAATCCGAGTATACGAGCATAGTACTTAGTATATTTGTTTACGTATTTTTATGTAGCTTGAAGAGTTAGCTACTCGAGACCAACACTTACGATTTCAAAGGAGAAAGGTGGGGACCCAGACTGGGTATTACATTGAGTATAATATTGTTATCATGTTCGAGGTATGTATACAGTTTAAGTTTATACGCTTGGGATGAGGAGGCATTAATTTGTCTTGAAGATTATATCCTAAGTTCTGATGGAGGCGATACGTGCCTTAGAAATATCCATCAGATTGTGCACAAGTATCCGATAATATATCGGCCAGATTAAGTTACAGTTATTATATATATACCAAAGATCATGATATTGTATTATTATTGATGTTTACTTTAGTATGGGTATTAACGGGGTACAAAAGGACCAGTACTCACCCCCATTATGTTTTTCAGGTAACAGGGTCGGGCCGGAGGTGTGAGCAAATAAAGTGGTGGTGATGGTCGAGTACTCATTTCAAAGGACATTTGTAATAAATGAAATAAGTCTGTATAATTATTCACGTTTTTAAGTAATTCCGCTACGCTTATTAATATGTGAACTTGCATTTTAAATAAATTCAGATTTCAAGTTTTTATCATTTCATAAATATGAACATGATATAGTTAAATGCAAGTATATATATAAATCTGTTTTGTTATGTCTAAAATAAATAATTAGACAAAGTTAAAGTTAAACAGATTTTTAGGAAGGAGGAGTTTAAGTAGCATCTCGAGTTATTCGCAAAAAGATTTCGAAAGAGTTATAAGTAATTTCGAAATAAAAGTTGCGAAAAGTTTACTCTGATAAGCGGGGTGTTACATAATGGACTGAGAACCTTATTCAACCTCCAACTCTACCTCAAACCAAAAGGAAACTTTACCTCAAACCAAAAGGAATGTTCCAAAATTTGCTTGATGATAATCTCTCTGCTTCAAAGGAGAAGCAAACCACCACTAAGACCTTGAGGGTCTATAGCCCTCTACCTGTCTCTAAACCCAATTTTATTACAAATAGACCTAACAAAATAATTTTTTTTCCTTGTTTCTAAAATAAAGAACAAACTAGGGTGGTGGACTCTAGAAGACTCCTTGACCTGGGAAACTGTAGAGGGCCCACCCAGACCTCTACAGTTCCACAGAAATAGCTTCATTTATTTGTCTAGGGCCACTCAAGGCTGGCCACCTCCACCTTATTAGACTCTCCTTTTTGTTTTGTTTTGTTTTTTTTTTTGTTTTTTTTTTCCTGGTATTCCTCANTCCTGGTTTTCCTCAGATCAGTACCACTGTCTAACCCCTCATCTCCCACCTCTGCAATGCTACTTCTCTTTTTTTATGTCTCAGCAGGTAAACTATCACATTTTTCTCTTTCCTCTGGTGATTCTACCCTCTTGTCCTGCTATTCTCTTCCACCCTTTCTGAGACTGTTTAGATTTCACACTCAATGCAGGAAAGCTTAGTGATCTATCTCCCACTGGTTGAGAGCCCTGACCCTCCTCAGTATCCATAGCACCACCAAACTCTGATCTTCAATCACTGTACTAAGACAACCTTTGTTAAAGTCATAACACAAAGAGCCACATTCTCATGGATAGTAGTTAGGTCTGTGGTCCTCTCAATTCCTTTGTTACAGGTTTCCACTTGGTTGGGATTGTCCTTAACCTCTATGATTTGCCTTGTGTCTTCTTACTACTCTGAGAGGGCTCTGCTACGCACTGATTGATTGCTTAGGTTTTTTACCACGGCCTCTTGAGATGGATCTTTACTTGGAGGATGAGTTTCATTAGAATTATTTGGGCTATGAGAAGATACTGATCTTCCTCCAAAGTGACCCTCCACCGCTTTCATCAAATCTCCAAACGGGCTCTCCTCTATCTCTCATTTTTTAATGTCCTCCACCCTTTTGGAGCAAGCTCTTTCTAGATGGCCCACCAGCCCACAATAGTAACAGAATTAACTAGACGTTCATACTGGAAAGCAACCACTTTCTGCGTGTCATTTAGATTCATGTTTGCAAACCTTGGCAAAGGTTGCATCAGATCAATCACAACTAGAAGTCTAAGAAAGCTATCTCTATACCCCCCGGCTTTTACCACTGTGACATTCAACACTTTTTTGAAAATTCTGCCTATTCTGATTCCCACTTCAGAACTAAGCAAGTTATTAACCTGAACCCACATTTTCAGCTCAAAAAATTTTGGGTGAGATTCAAATAGCCCTTCTTCTCACTCTAGCAGAATCAAAATTTGGTTGTCAAAAACCCAATTAGTCCCTGCAGCCACTTTTCTTTTGTCCTCAACACTACCGAATATAAACTGGAAGAAATTAGCTTTAAATTCTCTAACCTTAACCTGGTGTTGAATCTGCCAGATTATGCCCATCGTGCGTTTGATTCCCATGAGATTAGCTTTGCGATCACCAATTACTTTTCCAAACAAACTTTGACCACATTCTTCTTCACACAATTGGATATCACCATCCTTGGTTTCTATGATCGAGTTCTCCACTTGTGAAAGATCGATATTACATAACCTAATTTTGATTTCCTCATAAATGTTAACCCCTTTAGTGACTGCCGAAACCAAAGGATCCATCTTGAAAACTTGCACAAGCAAAGAAACAAAAAACCCCGTCAAGAAGAACCTCAGAATCCTACCAATGGACAATGCAAGAACCCTAAGAATAGGGCCTCAGAGAGCCCGAACCCCCCCCAGAAAACCCAATCAGAAATCCTAAACGAAACCCCCAAAAGAGAAATCACCCCCCCTCCCCCCCCAACCCAAAGAGGAATTAGGTTTGATGAGCACAATTGTTTTTCAGTATCAAATTTTTGTTTGTCCAACTTTAAAGTTTAAACAGTGACAAAATTTTATTGCTGGATCTCTAACAAAATTGAACTAGTTAACAAGTGTTTATCCAAAATAAAGATGAAGAAAATGAATTTTTGAATGAATAATAATAAACACAATTTTTTTACTTTTTATTGGGATATTATTCAATTTAGTTTCATCCCTTGTGTATGGATCATTTTGTAGTGTATAATTCTTGTGAAAATTTGAGAATTGTTAGCCGGTTGGTGTTAGTCATATTATTTGTTAGATATATATATTCATATTATGTAATATTATACTTTTATGTATATTGTTTTTTAAAAAAATAACTATTTAATTTAAAATATGCACTTTTATTAAAAAACTATTACAAGTGACAACATTCTTGTCAAAGTTTTGAGAAGTTAATTTTATGCTCTCCATATTATTGAATTGATTATTTTATCTTAAGACTGATTAGTTAACATATCTTTCTGATATTAAATAAATATAATTCCAAGTTAATTAATATATATACTCAGATTCATAATATTCACCATCTCAACTTGAAAGATGATAATTTGACTTAAAATTTAGAATGCTTACCACGATAAACAGTTCATGCCAATGAATATAATAAATACAAACTTTAATTTATTTATTTAGATAAACATACCATTATTTTGTTTTAATTAATTACCGTAGATCAACGAATAAATAGAGTAAATAAATAACACTACGCGGTCCGAACTCCCAGCCTATTAAAGCCCTACAGTACCGTTAGGCGTGTCTTAGCTGTATATGTTTAAGATTTACTATTATTCATTTACTCCACTGTAAAATATAAAGTAATATTAAATAAATAAATATCCTAACCTTCCCCAACAAAAATCTGGCGCTGTAAAATAAACATTTGACTCAGTAAAAATTATTTTCAATATTTCTTTATTTATTTAATTTTATGCATTTAACTTTATGAGTCATCGTGTATAAAATTGCGTGTGGACTCGTTTCATAACCCTTGTTTCCTCCATGCCTGAGACTGACCATATTATCTCTCTCCCAATATTCATTTCTCTCTCTTCTTTTTTATTTAATTCCATTTTTTTTTCTTGATTTGAGTTTTTGGTCACCTCAGTAGGAGAAGCCTGGTAATTGTTGTACATATTTATTCAGGTAAAAATTAAGCTCCTTTTCAGTTTCATCTACATGGGTTCAGAGATGAGATTTGATTTTTGTATTTTTTTTTTCTCTTGATTTATTTCTAGTTCATCCTTCTGCAGTGAGATCCGCAAAGACTAGTTAAAGTTCGTAATTTTTTCTGATTTTAGGCATCTTTAGCTCATGAATTCAGAAGCTTTGATCTGATCTGCTCCTAAATTAGGGATCTTTTTTTAGTTTTTGTAACAAATCAGCTTAAATTCACTCTCGATTATTGTATAATCCATGAGATTAAATTGGATCTGTTTGTAAAAACTTATTGTTAACAACTCAGAGCACAAAAAGACACTCAAGCTTTTGTTTTCCACACAGATCTGTAAATTTTTCCTCAGAAAAATCTGTTTTAACCTAACAAAATTTCTCTTTTGCCAGGTTTGTTCTTTATAGCTCAAGATCTGGAAGATGAATCACTTAGCTGTTCAGCAGAAAGGTTTCGCCGCCGGCGAGGAGATGAGGGCCGCCGCCGCTTACAGATCTGTGGATATGAAAGAATCGGTGGTCTGCCCCAAGCCGCGGCGGCTCAGTTTGCTTCATGCAACCCTTAACGAACCTTCTCAAGTGAGACCCCTGCGATGGCACACTAGGTAATTTTTTCGTAATTTTCCCCCATTATTTGGTACTCTCCTTGTAATTTGCTGCAAGTATTTCGCAACTTTATTAAAGACCAAAGCTTTATTTTGAATCAAAAACTTTTTTTCTTGTGAAGATCTTTTTGAACACTTGTTTCCTTGCGAAGCTGAAAATCGCCCTTTTTTTAGGTGAGAAAAACATACCATTTTTTGTTCAGTGTTCTGATTTTGTTTTTTTGTGTTGTGGTGCTTAATTGACAGCCTTAATCAAGAGGTTTTTGATGCAAAAGCTGGAAATGAGCTCCTAGACTTCATCCTGACAAAGGTTTGTTTCCCTTCTTAATTTTCT